GAGAGAGAGAGAGAATTTATCCTCTTATTACACTCGAAATTATCAACGCTGATTCAAAAAAATATTTTAGAAATATGTAGATTGATATAAATTATTTTAGATATTTTCCTTGCAAATAAAATAAAATTCAGAGTTTCTTTAACATTCTAGGACCATACCTTTCTCTATATATTACTTCGTGTAAAGTTCGTTTCAATTGCTCGCGCTTGTTGAATCATCAATAGAAAGTTTCGTTTAAACCGGTTAATTAGAGACCGGTTAATTAACAAATTGAATTCAATGCTGAAGACACCGGGGTGGTGCCCGGGGCGAACATTTAAGCAGCCATAATCATTAAAAAGGCATTAGATAAAGATCATGGCTCAATTTCGTAAAGTCAGTGCTCACACAAAAATGCCTCTCGAAATTTCCCGTTACATTCCACGTGAAACTCCGAGCATAACTAACTGATTCCAAACTGTAATTAATTAATGTAAAAAGATTTTTCAATGACATTATTTTTGTAAACGTTAACGTTAGGAAAAGCGAACAATGTTATCTAATGCATCGTGGTCATCGATAATAAAACACACAAGATAAAGAGCGAACGACGGTTCTGAAGGAAAACAGCTTTATTGGGGGCTTGACGTAGGTCTTGTCAAAATACACTCAACCTAAAATAAACGTACTCGATATTCGTATCAAAAGGCGACAGGGAAAGTCGCCGGGTGGTGTGCGATGATAATCGACAAAATTTATCATGGCGTGCAACACGAGACCCTATTGATTGAAGGTAAAACTCGAGATTTTAAAGCAAGCTTGCGGATCAATTACGATGCTGTGGGCGGACCGATCGGATCGAGGGTGAAACGCCAAGTTTTCACTTCTTCGTAGTCTTTTTGAATATTCGCAAGTCATCGTGGAAGACAATAACATCTTCGTGATTACGGAAAATAACGGTAAAAAGGATTTTTCATTAAAGTTTATCCGTGCGTACCCTCAATATCTTTGACTTTTTAAAATAAAGAAAATATTCAAGGGAATGTTTTCTTTCTTCTTGCCTCTCGGTGTCTGGAAAAAGGCAGAATCGTTAAGTTGCTTAACGTTAACTGGATGTTTACGACCTATGGTAAAATGCGAAAATCGATAGGTCGACTAAGCGTGTCGCACGCGAATACGGACATCCGCGTGTGAACTTTATCGGGAACCTGATCCGATCCTCTCGTAGCGACGTCGGGATGACGATGACGACGACGACGACGACGACGACGATAACGACGGGGCGAGAAAGGCGGCGGCTAATAGTTCAATTAACTCGAGCAATATGAATATTTGAGTGACGCGAAACCGAGACGGGGGAGAGACTCGATGAATCCGCGCGATGCATCTCGTCATGAGGTTGATCTACAAACGTGTCCTTATCGCATCTGACTGATAGATAATGGCATTCCAATTACCTTACTCCGTAGATGTTGATACGCGACAATTCGAGACATGATGAAGGCGAAAGAGCCGAGAACTGCAACATAACATCGAGACATAATACGAGTATTTCTGATGTGCCGAAAGAACAGTTTTGTTGATCAAATGAAAAATTTGATCACAAATCTAAAAATTTGATCAGATCTGAAAATAATTGTGTTAAGCCTTCAAGATTATTATGTGGAAAAAAAGAAAGAGATAAGAGAGATATGTAGTGATTTTTCTAAGCTAATAAAAGTCGGCCTGGATAAAAATTTGATAACTAATTAAAGGTTTTTAGTGAAATAATCCATTGTAATATAAGTTTAATCTATCAACGATAATAGATAATAAGTGAAAAATATATTTTAAAAACGCCTGTATGTAATTTTCTAATATTTCCTCATAAGAATTATAGTAAATGTATTTTAACTTTATCGAATATCTCGTATGGTATATCTAAAAATGTATATAATAATATATTTTCCATTTCTTATATGCAACATGTTTTTAAATGAAATAAATATAATTATCATCGGAGTTATAAGATAATAAATATCATCTCAAAAATTACATTGTAAATAATTATTTTTGTTTTGCCTTTAATTATATTTTATTTTAAGTTATGTAATTATAAATAATTGTTATTTTTGTTCTAGATTTTATTTTCTTAAAGTTATGTCATTAAAAATAATATCTTTTGTTTTCATAAATACTATTTATTTGTATCTTATTGTGTTACCCAGACATTACAAGAATAGAATAATATAAAAAAATTTGTAAAAAAATTAATATTTATATTCATAAAAAAATTAGTTTTAACTTTTATCATTTTATCCATTGCTAAAAGTCTCGTTACTTACATACAGATGACGAAATTGACCTCAAAAAATTTAAATAATACAAAATCCTAATTTATTTATAAACTTTTCAATTTCTGCAGATGATAGGCAAAGTTTTAGCTTAAAAATTTCGGAAAAAAATTGAAACATTATTTTACATTACGAAAATTAGAAGATATCAACAAGGCCTTAGAGTCATCATCTTAGTTTCTTTTCCCTGATATTCAAATTGCTAAAAAATCAAAAATTTTTGCAATGTTATTATCATGTTTAAGCATTCTATATAATAATTTTGATGGTCCGATAAAATTACATTCAGATCTGTATTTGGCCAAATTTTTAAATTTACCAGTAAAACTATTCTCTCCGTGTAGATTCTAGAAAAATGCAATTTGCTGATGTAGAGCAGAACCGGTTTCGGATTAAAATATGAGAGATTTTTTAGAGCGTTGTATACAGTAAAATAATATGCAGTATTATATTAAAATTCTTCCAAAGCGAGCGCTTAAGACAGCTACGTTCCGTGCTTTCCCTCCAGTTAGTATACGCATACTTCTTGTAATTTATGCAAGTTTCCTGCCATGCGTGAAAAATAATGTTTGCACAGACATTATAAGCATCGAAAATTGAATCGCGATGATCGATAGAGCGTTTTATATTGACGTTATATTAAATACATCGATCAATTAAAGAACGATTGATAGTAGTTTGCACTTGATAAATATGCACATTGCCATCCAGTATTCAAAACTGCACCACCCAGTTTCCATGTGTACGAAATCGAAGATGAAAATAAATAAATTTACGTAGCTCCGCTGAAGCATTATGTATCGATACCAAATTTTCTTTTTTTCTTTCTGCAACAGGCTCCTCGCTTTAAACGTATTCCTTTTTTTTTTTACGTAACAGACGTCTGATAGCGTCGTAACGATATTTCGTTCGTTTGAAAATCTGCAACCAATTTCTTCTTGAAAAATTCATACAGCCGAGTTCGCGTCTCTCCGCGGATCTCAATAACTAATTCAGGCCTCGCGCAGGAGCAACGCGAGTCAATATTCGACAGCAGCAACAGCTGATCGTACGATGAATAAAATATACGCGTATTAATCCTCACACTAAGCTCGAAACCGGTAACAATGCCGACGCGGCGGACGGAATCACCAAGTTTAAGATGTATATAACGCAAAAGCGAACGAAAAGTGGAGCGGTCGCTGTGAGGCAATGTTTCGCTTCATAAAAACGAAAAGAAAGAAGAAGAAGAGAGAGAGAGAGAGAGAGAGAGAGAAAGGATAAAAAAAGGAACAAGTGCGTAACCGTTCTCCAAAACTCGTGCGTGGACACGCGCGTGTCCGATTGCGACACGCGACGAGAAATATGCGTGCGTTCTCGGGGCAAGGTGCCTCGCGGCACCGGACGACAGGTTACTTACGATTGATGCTGCAGCGTCAGCATAGCGGCGCCTTCAGGAGGAAGAGGGACGACGCGTGCGATCCTCGCGCGAGAACGGTACCGCGAGGAGGGTGCATTCGCGTCTCCAGGGGGGATTCTCGCTGGCCGATGATGTCGGGCGATGTTTCTCAGGGACCGGCAACCGTGGTTGCGGTTGTGGCTGCGGTTGCGACGACGATCACGATCACGGCGAACGCGCGTTTAAAGCGCATCCGGCATCTCTCACCGCGGCCTGCTCGATCGGAGCGGTGCGTGTACAGTTCGCGGTGGCTCACGCGAGAGTCTGCGGCACGCGAGGCACCGATCACGATACCCTCGACTCCCGACTGCGAACCAGGACTACGGGATACGATACGCGCCTCACGCTCGATACGCCGTCGTTGCTCATTCGAGTCTCAATACAATACCCGCCGATGCTCGCCACCCGATCCCACGGGTCCCGCGACTTGACTGGCTCTGGCTGCGCTTTCGTCGATTCGCGTTCGCTTCACCCGAACGGCGAACATACGATACACGACACAACCACGAAGCAACGGCGGCGCTCATCGAGACTGGAGGGGGAACATGCGCTTGGTTCGTATGTATGTACGCTTTACGCGCGGCCTCCCAGCCTTCCACCTGAAGTCAGGTGTTTCAGCAGCGCCGCGATGATGAGGTTAGTCTCTTCAGCCAGTAACGGCTAGAGTCACTCAAGTAATCTGGCAAAAAAATGCGTACCTAAGTAGAGGATGATAGGTGACAGAAGCAAGATATATATATATATATATATATATA